CCTCCTCTGGACCCTCTCCAACACCTCTCTGTCTTTTTTGTAGTATGGAGGAAAAAAAAAGGACTAAGATTAACTGGAGGTTGTGAAGAATGTTTGAGTTTGTTTTTAATTTCCCAGTCATCTGCACTAAGTATGCACTCGCGTATTTCCTTTGCTGGATGAGTGGGTTAAGGAAGAAGTCATTGGTATCAGAGATTCATTCTATAGGAAGAAAGTAGTAACAGTAAGCCATCAGAGCTGGAAGGCTGCTAGAAAACAGATTTTTCAGTTAAAAAGGAAAACGTTTGCTTCTATGAGCCTCAGAACAAGGCTCCACTTCTGTTCTGTACTCATGGCGGCTGTATGAGCATCTTCCTTGTGCACGGCTTCCCTCTTTTATAGCTCTATAAATCCTTAGAGTACAGTTCGCTGTTACAGCTCACTGAATAGATTCTGATGGAATGCTCTTCCAGTGCAAAACACTGAATAGGTGAAAATGAAAGTTCTCAAAGGAATTTGATTATTTGTCCCCAAAACATTTCCATAGAAAAAAAACCAAACATTTGTTACCAGCCCTTTCATGGTATTAGAATATTTCATCCTAAAAGTCCTGAAAGAAGGACTTACAGCTTTCCACTTGGAAATCATTTTTCATTGCAGTATCTTGCATTTTGTAATGGAAAACAGACAATCAGATAGAAGTTAGCTAAGCATTATGATGAAGCACAAGCTTTAAAAAAACAATATATTACAGTTCATTTAGAATCCCTTTTCATAGAATGTACAGTTTTATTGATTATTCTTATTGTTTTACTTCATTTCATACTGGAGAAAAATATCACAATGCAGGAATAACTCTATACAATAGAAAATGTGTCTCCAACCTGCCTGTACTGAGACGTGCTATTCAGTTGTGGTGTATAATGAAGTATGACAGATAATGGGAGAATTCAAGCTGTTTCCATCTCTCCCCAGTTCCTACATGCATCGTTTTAAGAAGCAGCCCCTGCTGTTGTGGCTTTGGTCTTGTATCTGTCAATCCAAGACCAATGGACTAGGAAAGAGGTGAGGACTTCTCCCTAGATTAAGTGCTAGTGATCACAGCTCATCTCACATCTGGAATGATGAGAGTGGGAACAAAAACTCAGATAATATGAAGATATAGAAGGGAACATGCAACTCAGAAAACAAGGCTACCAGCCAAGATCCCTGATGACATTCTGCAACTGAAAACTAGAAATCTCATTAGAAATACAGTTCTCATAAAACTTCACCCAGTCTTGTCTCAAAAAATGAAGACAGAAGGCAAGCAACTAACTGTCAAGTTTGGCACCCTTCTGAATCAACACCTAGTGTGGGAGACAGAAAATCTGGACAGATAAAGCCTTACCTTGCTCTGGATGTAGATTTCTACATCTTCATCTGTGAATGGTTTCATGGCAAGATGGTCGTCACTGTTCTCTAAAGTGTGAATTCACTCTTCACTTGTTCGCCTGCATCTGGAAACAGGAGGGACACTCAGAGAGAGCTGCTCAGAGCCACCTTGCCCTGTAAAGCTCAGATCACCTAATTCCTCTGTGCATGAAGAAATGGAGAGAGAAGCAGGAAAATATACCTTTCCCCCCCTCCCCCCCTCTGGCCTGAATAGCCTAACTTCTTAGGAAAATTAGCTCCAGTTATTATTTTCTAAACTTGATCACTATTATTTTTACTATGATTACTCTTGAATGGTACGTCTTACATGCAGGCACACCCACAGATATCCCAGTTACTGCTTTGTCTCGGCAGATCCTTTCAGGTTGCACTGCAGACCCAGTAGGTTCACGCACAGCATTATCATTCTGTGCACCACAAGTACTTCCCTGCCTCTCTAACCCTTCGCTAAACCATTTGTCAAACGCTGCCAGTTATCCTTTGTTGACTTCAATCCACCCATTTTCCATCAGAAACGGTGTGGGTATTTTTACACTCTGATCATTCATTTGTTCAGCCTCGGTTTCTCTCTCCTTATATCTCCTCTCTCTGTCCGGCTGTATTGACAGTAAATATCCTGCTGCCCGTCCCCTCCTGGTTGCTTGCTTTGCTTTCTTTACAGTAAACAGGCAGAACGCTCTCTCCCACTTTCTGCCAGCAGCTCAGCTAACAACCCTGTACGGATAATGCAGCGAGAAAAACAATTGATCAGGACTTATTGATCCAGTGAGGGTTGCTGGCTTTTATAAAAAAGGGTTACATCAGCACATGGAAAGGAATGATGGAGTATAGAGATGAGATCCAACGCTGCTTCCTTATTAAGGAAGGCACACTCTACTTTCCAGTAAAATCTTTATTTCCCCTGCAAATTGAACTTTGACATCCCTTGACTGACATTATCACCACAGCAGCTGGCAAATAGCAGCACATCCATAGGCATGGGGTGCTATCTCAGAATCTCAGAGCAGGCTCTTTTGTTGCTGTGTATCTTTTGTGATCATCATTTCTTATTAAGAGCTGAACGCTAAGTACGTTAATGGAGAACCAATACCTGAGGACATCTAATCTCCCACAATCTACAAATCAGACTTTCTCCATGCCCCCCCGGCACCAAAGCTGCCTTTCTCTTTTTGCCGAGAGACTTGGGGAATATTCAGAAAGACATAAAGAATCACAGAATGGCTTGGGTTGGAAAGGACCCCAAAGATCAACAAGTTCCAATCCCCTTGTCACAGGGCAGGGACACCAGCCTCCAGATGTGGTACTAGGCCAGGTTGCCCAGGGCTCCCCAATCTGCCTCCATGGGAGCTGGACACTGGAAAAGATGAAGCCCTCTATTTTCAGGAATCCTACCTCATCATTTCTAGCTTCAAGACTTACTAGATGTCTTTCACTTGAGAGGCCAGTGGTGTGAGAGCTCTGCTAGGAAGGTCAGACAAAAGGCAGGATCCAAAACGAGGTGACTGGAACAGTAGGCTACAAAAGGCTTGTAGGGCTGGGTTAGATGGGATTAGTTCAAACAGTGTGCAAAGAAGGAAAACGAGCTTTACAAATGGTCAGATTTGGCTAAAAATATGTCACTAATACATTAACTCCCTTGTGCTCCCCTCAGGTGTTGTATGCACAAAGGTAACTTCCTTAACAACCTCAATACCGTACATTACTTCAATACCCAGAACATCAGATGGGTATTAGAAAGCAAGGAGTCAGTCTCACATTCTAGCAACTATAAAGTCTCTCCTTGTGACAGCTGTCTGGAGTCACAGGTGCTGGCAGACACACAAAAAGCATGGGTTTGGTCATTTTTCTTGTATGCAGTAATACATCTTGTGCTTATCATCCTTTTCCATTGTAAGCACTTCTCCAAGAGGGCCTAGATATCCCCAGCTCCCTCTCCCTATAGAGAAGAATATGGCGTAAGGAAATCCCTCAGGAGGTTTTCACTTATACATAGCTAGCTGACCACTGACAGTCCCCCACTTTCTGCTTAATGTGCATCCATTGATTTATCCAGCTGTTCCCATGCATTTCCGATCCACGCTTCAATGTCTTCAATCATAGTTTCCTGTTGATCTATGTAAATTATTTTGAAATTATTCAGCTGCATTACACACTCCCCCTTTGTTTTATTTCAGTGCCCATGTAGCACCTTCTAACAGCATTCACTGTGGCCAGTCTCCTCTGTACCTCTTTTGTTTCGCACCTGTACCCTCAGCTGCTTATTGATATGCTTCTAGGAGTATTTAAGGATTTCCTAGTATCTCCAACTATATTGATCCTATGATAGATCATCTCTGTTTGGGCCTTTGGCAACATCCAGAACTGGATATGATTGCAGTTCTGGGAAGCCCACACAATAGCATTCGGTGGATATATACCTTGAGTGGTATTAGATTGGTCCTTGTATCTTCTGAAGCTGACAATTACAGGTGATTTCCATGCTTGTCTGGCTTTCCTTCCTTCCTTTAGTTCTATAGAGATGACAAATATATTTCAAACATGCAGTCCAAAATCATGTGAACCATGAGGTGCACAACAACAAAAAATCATGAACATCATGTAAATAAGAACAGTAGCATTGGCTGTACAAGAAAGTCTAATATTGTGGCATTTTCTGTTTTGAAGCTATCTGGAACAGCTACTCATATGGAACAGTAAGCACGCATTAGAAAACCTCTCCTAAATCATACAAATGAGTTCGCCCAGTGTACCGCTTGTGACTCACAGATGATCTGCAGTAGCAACAAATAAGCCCCATTGAAGATGATGCTGCCTTCCAGATGAAATACACCACTTAATTTGCAGTTGCTGATGATGACCCATCGCTTCTTGCTCTAATTACCAGCGGCATTAAGTCTGCTGCCAAAGTGTGTACTTGGGTCAGGAGAGGCTACCAAAACAAATCATCCCTGTAGATTTAATAATCTCTGACAGTCCTCTTGCCTTCTTAAACTGTTGCCCTGTTTCTCCCTATTAGTGGACTAAGTGACTGTACAAAATGATAACTGTAGCTTGAATCCCTTATATTTATGCTGTAAATCTTTAGCAGCAATGGCTCAGTATTACTGAGTCTCCATTCAGAGGATACTGGCATAACATAACCAGACTTTCTAGGAGCACAAGATCTGTGTGTTGATTTGTTTGGTTTTCTTTTTGTTTGCTTTGTTGTTGTTTTTTTTTTCCCCAGTTTGTCTTTCCACAGAGAGATATGAACAAAAGGGAGGCTTCAATGACAAAAGCCTGGGATGGGTTACAGGGAAAAGAAAGTGTTGCTAATTCACTCTGACAGCATCAGAATCGTGTATGGATGCCAAATTGAAATGCTTCTCTGCTCATTCCCACCCCTCACTGATCGATACTTGGCAAGCTCCAAATGCTCCTACTGCTTGGTCTCACTGCCATGCGTTCTTACATCAGCCCTGGACCTGTACTACATACACATCACGCAAGCTGAAGGCATATATTCTTTCCACACTAAGCACAGCATTGGATCAGGTTCAGCCTGATATCTTTTCTCCACTTGTGACCAGACCGGACGTGTCAGAAAAAGGCAACTAGACTTTGCCAGAAAATAGTTTCCTCATCTGGGAAATCTTGAAATTCAAAACAATTTGCAACCTGAATCTTTCCAGGCTTCGGAGTAGTACTTCTAAAGAAAGTGATCACTCCAGGAGAACCAGCTGAGGATGCAGAAAATTCTGAAAATTACTGAGATTGTGAAGCAGTTGCCCTGCACTGACCACCCCCAAACAGCAAATTCATGCAAATGCAGTCTGTTTTGCAGCTGTTAAGAAGCAAGTCACAGGGTAATGAACACAGAACATCTAGTTTGACTTCTAGTATTGCTAAGATTACCGGCACCTGGTGTGATGAGTTGTGCAGAGAGCCTGGAAATCTCCAAGTTCATAATGGTCAGCCCAAGGGGCAGCGTGAGAGACAGGCTGCACCAGCTCTGAGGTTCCCAGGACAGTTCTGACTGAGACACGGGCAAGAAAAGGCACTGTTTGACTTCTTAGTCCATGTGTTGCCCTCTGGAAATTCATTGAAGTAGTCAAGTTTGGTGCACCAGGATTTAAACAAAATATGTCAGCAGACCATTTCCAAGTGTCTGTAAAGGATATTTTTCCTCCGTGACTGTTTTATCCACCACTAAACTATAGGGACTGATCTCATTTCAAGCAGGAGGTCCCGTCATCCTGAAAGCTACTTGCGGCCAACATTCATACAAACAGGAGCCTTCCAGCACTTTTATTTATATGCCTTGGTGAATGGCCTGAATGCCAAAAAGGAAATATAAAACACCAAGGAACTCTCACTGATTTAAACACATGGTTGGAAGAGCTGCATCTGGAGGAAACACAATGTTTGGCAGAGCACAGTGTGACTGGAAAAGCATTTAGCACTAGAAGTCACGGCAGGTGAGAAAAAGCTGCTGCACTTTTGGGCTCAGCATGGGTTTGCTCAGCTCCTGGTAGACTGATTACTTTCAACTGTCAGGAAAAATACTTTAAATATAGAGGCACAGTAACTTCAGGACCAAGACTACAGCCAACCTTTAAAAGAGCCAGGAGAAGAAGCATACTTACTGCAATGGCTGGTCTATGTGGGGCTGAATCAGATTGTGCCACAGCACTTCTAGGAGCTGCTAAATTTCTGTGGCTGCCCTCCAGAGCACAAATAGTGTCCACTTTTATTATTTTTTACACTTTGCTGTTGTGTCCAAATTGACCTGATTCCTAACTTATTGCTTGAGTCTATGGTAGTTTGAAGCAAATTGAATAAATCACTAGTGCTAAATAAGAATAGTCACTGCAATGCAAACTCACTTGGGAATGAGGGAGTCGAGCTGGCATCCCTGCTTATGTGCTTCATCCAGAAACTGACTGTTAAGAAACATGCTCGCTGGAGCCAGAACTAGAAACTAGGCTTCATATCTCACAGGAAGTGACAGCTCCGTAGCCATTA